ATATACCATGTAGTTATTTATTAATTCTCTTAATTGTACTAATTAAAAAGAATACATGGTAGCTATAGGAAAAGGACCTAGCACTGAAGCAGTGTCGTCTACAAGGCCTCTAGTTTCGTAATATGATTTCTCGCTGAAAAGTTTACTTAGCCTTAACAGGCTTCGTTAAGTGAGGCCTTTAGTTTTATAATACAATTTCCCGTTGTAAAGAGTTTAATCTGCCTTGATAGGTTTCGCTAAGTGAAACTATCTTGGTTTTTGAGCTGCGCCAATGTGTGATACCTCATATCTCGTTTAAGTATTTTACTTCTATGGCCTTCTTTGGCCGATATTATATCGAGCCTGAGAACGAGAGCCGAACATCTGGCCTAGTAAACAGAGCAGATTTGCGGTTATATAGTAGTAAAATTTGGGAGAAACTGAGCTGCTTCTACCTTCGAGTTATTCTGTAGTGAATCTTATTGAACCTATCTGTCATACTTAATGACGTCACACAGTATACGCATATATGTTTAACATTGCTATACAACTAGTTCATACTACTAACACAGCTTGTATTGGCAAAGCTAGGATTAAAATATTGTAGATCTAAATGGCCGACAGGTTCGAAAGGAACTAGGCCAAAATATCGGTGCCTAGTCACCTTTCGTGTGTAGAAAGGGACACAATCGCTATTTGTTCGTTAGAGGTACTATATATACTGTATATACTATTAAAAGCAGTAAAGAACTGGGGCAAAAACTGACAAATGGCTCTCTATTTAGAGATCTTAAATAAACTTTATATTATCCGAAAGCGAATAAAAATGATCCCTTTAGAGAAAACACTTTTAGCGATGAAATGGTAGATAGTATTGGTCTAGGTTTCTCATGAAAGTTACCACCAAGAAATTATACTTGATTAGGAGATTCTTGGTAGAATGTTCTGTTGAAACTTGGGGATAGGCAATCGGCCTGATGGCCAGATACGCAAAAATGTTCAGGCGAAATTTAGTCAGGAGTGAGGTTAGTTGAAAATCGATGACTTTTTTTTGTTGACACGTCACCAAACGAAGCTCGTAGTTGAAACGATTAATTTTCATACCGAGTCTACCGCATGGGCAATTAAAAGGTGATTACCTTCCTACTCGAGTATCAATGATAGAAGAAGGGTACGTTCTACGGTGATTTATGAACGGTTTGGAAAATGAACTAAAAGCTGTATGCTCCTTCTAGTCGCTGTTAAGTTTTGAACTTTAAGTTGACAACTGTGTATGCTGCTGTATCGTTTAGACAATTTATTTGTGACTACATAGCATGGACATAATAAGATGTCTGCATAACTATCATCTTGCTATTGGCTGCCGAAAGCGAGAGAAAAATAATAAGTGTAATGAAGCACTGTTGGTTGAATTATCAAGAACACGCACGCCTCCACATGTCCATGAGCGTTCCTGGCGTGCTCAGCTACCTTTTCTTTCAAACAGATAGCTTTGGTTATCACCAAATTCGCTTCAATGTCCGCTCCTTAATTCTTACGGGCGACGTCAAACGCCGAACATTTGTCAAGGCTACAGCTGGGTAGCCTTGGGCTAAGCCCGTTATTGTCAAATGTCATTTTTATTAGTAATGGACAACAGAACTTTTCTCAGTCTACCCTTGTTCCGACTGATTCTAACTTGAGCTCAGTTTACCACAGTCGACAAAGAAAAAGCTTCGTGGACGAGCTCAAGAAAAGGGGCGATTTTTCCCGCTTCCTGCAACACACCTCTGGATATTTGTCCTGAGGAGTTTTAGCTGGACGAAAAATAGGTAGTCTTGTGCTCGAAAAATGTTTGTTTATTCATGGTCCATCCTTAGTAGGAAATTCATAAAGTTATTGTTTTGTTTTTTTTGTTAAATCTTACGTAATATTCTCGTGTCTTAATGTGGTTTCCGCTTACGAGCACCGTGCCTTTCTTCCAGGTAATTGGCACGACGATGTGCGGCATTAGCGAGTGCTACGTACGAAAATCACCGATCTCGTTTTGTTTCCTTTTCAGGGTCTTTATAATTATTAAACTTATGAAGTAAACTTTTGTTGAAAATCCTTGGACGCCAGTGAAAGAAACGATGCGACATTTGGGTTCGTAATCTGTTATTGGGCTAGCTAGCAACATTTGTGCAGGGTGCAGACAACATAGGAAAACCATTTGGTGTGAAACAACGATAGCTAATCGAGAAACGAACATCTCGATTGAGATTTCATTATACGAGACAGAGTATTTACTTTTAGCCCAAGACATTATTTTACAGAAGGAATTGTAATTAAATGCAATTTGTGTTCTCGCTTAGGTACATTTTCGTCAACTGTAGAATAACCTATGTATGTTCCAAAGGACCCATTAAGTGGTTTATATTTAAAATTACAATATGAGATATTTTCCGATAGGAATAATATGTCGTTTATATTAGGTATTAATATGATTATTTTCCCATCAGAATATCCATGATATATAGAAATCTTCCTCAGGATAGCCTTCAACCGATTATTGACGTCAGCAACTGACTGGTAAAAATAGTACTACTATCTAACTGTCGTTCAGCTCTCTAAACATAAACGAGCATCCTATCTATTTTGAATTTCCGGTGACACCCGAACTGTGTTAAAAATATATTTTTACATATACTTACATAATAATGGTTTTATTACATCCGCAATTGTAGAGTTAACATTTATCTAACTATGTACCTGACGACACGTCTAAGTAAGGCCAGTTTAATGCCAGGAAAATATCATTGTTCCATAGAATCTAATCTAAATTGGCGCTTACTAGCGGAAACATGAAACAAACATATGATATATCTATTACTGCTAATATATTTCTGCTATTACAATCTAGTACCTAGACGCTTTCAGCATCCATTAGAAAGGTACTGTGCTAGATAGCATCTGGTTCTATTCAGCACAGAGTCTTCGTGGTGCACTAGGCCACATGCTGAAAGCACGTTGATAGGTACGAATTTGTCTGGCTGTGCATGACCTCTAAAGACAACTGCTACCACTGTGGTAACGAATGGGGCCACGTATCGCACCCCTATGCATAGCGACGTTAGGGTAGCGTGCAATATTTTAGGTTTTAATTAGGGATTTATGAGCAATCTTGGCTACGCACTACTCGAATCCGGCGAAACAATGTCTGTCTAACGTGAATCGATGAATGTGGGACTTGGAAATAGCTCATCGGCATTATAATAAACGGGCGTTTACAATAGACAGAAAAACCGCCAAGTGTCTAAGTTTTATAATATATTGCTTAACTTATTTCGTGCACGTACGTAGTTGCTAACTTGTCTCCTGTATATGCAGTGCAACAAAACATAAATGCAGCGTACTTTCAGTGAACCCGATGTTTGGATTCGTTTTCACTTTGAGAATACCTGTATGTACAATAGAGCAGATCTCTACAGTATTCTACTATTAGCCTTAAGGCATCGTTCCTCTGCTTCAGGCTCTATGTATCCTATGACAGAATTGATCATAAAATACGAGAGGGCTGCTGCTCCTACGATGCCATTAGTTCACCGTAGCAGCTTGCGCTGTAATGTTTGGCATCTGTCTTAATAAAGCTACTGACCTCATGTCGTCACCTAAGTTTCTTCTCCTATTTGCCGGACTTCATCGTAGCTAGACGAACGACGATTTAGCCCAAGTCAGCCCTTGAAAGATGACGTCCTTTAGTGGATAGCTGATTATGATGCTCAGAACGTCTATAGTATGGGTGATGGCAATTTGAAGACGCCTAGTTGTTTCCATGTGAGCCTAACTGCACGCCATGGACCTGTTACAGCCGATAGCTATAGTGAAGCGAAGCTGAAGTACTATTTGAAGCTTGCTAGCTTCGTGTCAATTTCGATTCCTCGCCAACAACAGCATTGATGAC